AGGAAGGAAGGAAGGAAGGAAGGAAGGAAGGAAGGAAATGGGGTGAGGGTTACAGGGACCAGGATCTACCCCCACCTAAGGGCAGAAAGCCATGTTTCATTACTTTCAAAATACCAGCTAAATGCCAGGTATGGTGATGCATGCCTTTAATCCCAGCACTTGGGAGGCAGAGGCAGGTGGATCTCTGTGAGTTCGAGGCCAGCCTGGTCTACAGAGTGAGATCTAGGACAGCCAGGGCAACACAGAAAAACCCTGTCTCAAAACAAAAAACCAAAAAGCTAGACTCACTGACAAAGTGAAGCAGGCATTTCATGGGTGGTGGAGGGCTGATGACACACAGGAAGTCCAAGAGGACGGACGGATGACAGAAGGAAGGAAGGGGTGGCTGGAGACTGTCCTGCTGCACTTCCCTCCCCCACATGAGTCAAAACAGAAGCTTCTGTTTCCTCTAGCCTGTCTCTGGGTGGCTTCATGGGGCCAGGACCCAGGTAGGAGCAAGCTGAAGGAATAGGGCTCAGTTTCATGGAGGTCCATGGTCCCTGTAAAAGGGGGGTGAACCTAGATTCGGGTCCTTTTTGGACCTGTCCAGAAAAGCATTCTGGTGATGCTGGACTCTTTATTGTCCTCCAGGATCCCCGAGCTGAGAAACAGGGTACCACTGCTGCCCTATGAGGAGAGACCAGTCCATGGCTGGGAAGGGCTGGAGTTGGTCGCTCCCTCCACTTTTGGGGAGGGGTCATTTGAAGAGGACTCTATGGAACCATGTCAGCATGACCATGGTGGTGTCTGGGATTCCCTGGGCAGCTTCTGGGCAAATCCCAGTCCCTACCACCACCACCACCACCACCACCACCACCACCACCACCACCACCACCACCACCACCAAGGGTGGTAGACTCTAGGGGCTTTAGCTCTTCACTTTGCTGGTGACCTCCCCGACCAGAACATCTCACAAGGACAACAGCAGCTGTGTGCTGCAGTCCCACCTTCTGGGAATCCCCCTCCCCCACCGTGGTAAACAGGGTGCCCACATACAGGCACACACATGCCCACACCCACTCAGGCAGAGCCCTGCTCCATGTGTCCAAGTGTCACAATGTACAGTTCTGAGCCAATGCTTCTGAGCCCTCCCTCCTGCACCCACCCCCCACACTGAGACATCAAGTGTGTCTGTGGCACTCATTCTCCAAGTTAGGATGTTCGAGTGCGCCTGTGGCACTCAGCTTCTTCGAGAAGTCAAGTGCACCGGTGGTACTCGGCTTTATTAGAAAAGTATACCTGTGACGTCCAATCTCCAAGTTAAGTTCAAGTGAATCTGTAACAGTTTCCATGCTGAGTTCAAGTGCAACTGGGTGTAGTGGCACACACCTTTAATCCCAGCACTTGGGAGGCAGAGGCTGGTGGGTCTCTGTGAGTTTGAGGCCAGCCTGGTCTACATAGTAAGACGTACAAGTGCATCCTTGGGACTGAGACCCCTCCGCCCCCTGCTGTCCCCTGCCTTTGACCCTACATGGCACAAACAGCTGCTCACCCGTGTATGTGACAACAGTGTGGACAATGGTCAGGTGCCAGCTACCCTAGGGGCTGCCTTCACACTCACCTGTAGCCTTTAGGAGTGCTGAGCTGCACTCACCAGGGTGCCCCGGACTAGGCATCATGGTCATCACCTCTAGCTATCCCTACAGGACACACAGGGACACACAAGCCATGCGTCTTAGCTAAGGACACTGGTCTAGCTCTGAAGCCCATGCCTGGTGATATCTGCAGCCACCACCTGGCACTTGGGATATTTCAATATGCCATAAAGTTCTCATGGGGGTGGGGGAGGCATCTGAGGGCACTATCTGGAGATGAGGGCAGGAGCGAGCTGAAGACTGGGCTTAGCCGTACACCTGGTGAGGGCTGACAGTCTAGGGAAAGGGTCAGAGAGCCAATCTCTCTGACAACCCAAAACCCCTGCCCTCACTGTGACTGGCTGGGTACCAACCCCATGCCCAGTGTCCTGTGCTACAGGAAGGTCAGGGCTTCCCCTCTGTACACAGGCTCCCTGCCCTCCTCCAGGGTCCCAAGCCGTTGCCCAGCACACTGGTCTCCTCTGATCCCTGCGGTTTCCAGCTTCACAGTCATTGCTTTGTCCAAGGTAGCACTGTTTGCAGGATCTGTCCCTCCCACAGGGATGTCCCTCTGGAACCTGCCTGGGACGATGCTCAGCAATAGAAGATACACAGCAGATACTGAATTTAAAAAAAAAAAAAATGAGTAAATGCAGTGACACTGGAGGTGACTGAGGTCTCAAGGATGAGAAGCCAGTCACATGGCATGGCAAGGACAGGGAATTCCGAGTGGCGAGGGCCTGGATAGCACTGGATGACGGAGAAGGGGCTGGCTTGCACAGGGGGACTGATGCAGGGGTAGAGATGGGACAAAGCCCGGCAGCGCCTTGGAGACCATGGCAAGGCCTGAGACTTTGCTCCAAGGGCACAGAGTGCTGTTCGCGCCTCCTTGTGCTTCTTCCTCAAGGCATTCCTCTTCCAGAACAGTGAACACACCTTCCACTCGGCCACAGTGTCAAGCTGTGGGTTGGGGGTTTATGGATACCCCCCAAACAAACACTACAGAGCACCTCAAAGCCCACAGAAATGACTTTTTTTTTAAGATTTTTTTTTATTATGTATACAGCATATATGACAGCCGGCCAGAAGAGGGCGCCAGATCTCATTACAGATGGTTGGGAGCCACCATGTGGTTGCTGGGAATTGAACTCAGGACCTCTGGAAGAGCAGTCAGTGCTCTTAACCTCTGAGCCATCTCTCCAGGCCCAGAAATGACTTTTAATATCAGAACACAGGATGGCCTTGTGTCCCCACAAGGGACCAGGACCATCTGCAGGCTGAGAGTACTGACAGCTGGAACCTGCCAGCTCTTGGTCCTAACCAGCCCGACTGCTGGGGGGACAGAGCATGTCCTCTCGGAACAGAGTGGCTGCAGGTGTAAGGCAACAACAACTCTGCTTCATCCGATGATGTGGAGTGGGGGCCAGCGCTGTGCTGCCCACCCTCCTGGGCCACCTGGGGTCAGGAGGAGAAGGGTGGTGCCTCGGCCAGCGGCCGTGACATGCTCTGGATGGCCCACTGCAGGATGCCGTCGAAGGAGTGCTGGGAGAGAGAGGCATAGAAGTTCAGACCAGCCGGACCTCCTCGGAGCTGGTGCCCACTCCGCCATGTCTATGGAACTGTGACCATCCGGACATGAAGGTGTCACCCGACCTGACCCTCTAATTCATGGTGCGGGACTGAGACCCGAGGCCCCATGGGACATGCCAGTAAAGGGAGGACGCCTCATTGGGTGCTTTTCTAGAGCAACATATAATCCCTGGGCTTGGCCCCCAGGCTGTCCCTTCCTCTTCTTGGTGGCTTTCTTTGCTAGAGCCTTCCTCTCTGCTCAGGAGTCAGACATCCTATCAGGACTAGGAAGTCATGGGGGGCGGGTGGTCCTCATGTTTTCAAATGCCCATCCATGCTAGGTGACCCATCTCTCTTGCGCTTCCATAGATCTGCCTGTGCACGGTGGCCCGCCGCATAGGGCAGTCCCCTGACCAGCTGAGCCTCCCAAAGTGCCAGTGGCTGGCTATAGAGGAGAGCAAGAGGGCCACCCGGGATGTGGGAGTGACCGAAGGAGTTTGTGCCCTCACAAGAGATGGAGCCCTAAAAAGGTCTGGCTTCTCAGTAATTCTCCCTCCCCCTCCCCTTCCCTTTTAGTTTTTAGAAGAAATGCATTCCTGCTATTTCTAAATGTGTGTATGTGTGTGTGTGTGTGGGGGGGGCAGGTGCCTGAGTAGGCCAGAGGCATTAGATTCCCAGGAATTGAATTATAAACAGCTATAAGCCACTGGACCCTTTTGCTGGGAACCAAACATTGTCCTCTGCAAGAGCAATGCACACTCTTAACCACTGGGCCATTTCTCTAGCCCCTCAGGTTTTTGAGATAGGGTTTCATCTTGTAGTCCCGATTAGCATCCACCTCACATTCTTCCTCCATCTGCCTCCCAAGCGCTGGGAATCAAAGACCTGGGCCACCACACCTGACCTGACCCGTCCATCTTATGGTGCAAGAGGTTGGAGAGGTAAGAGAGGGGTCTCTGAAAGACCACCCTACGATCTCTCTCTCAAGAGTCAAGGGCTTAAGCCCTCCTGGTTCTGAGGTCCTGAGGACAATAGGACTCCCAGGTGCTGGGCTCTTGGGAGGAGGAGGAAGGCTACAGGTAGGAGGCAGCCAGCTTATCTCACGTAGGGCTGTGCACCCTGGGGCTCCTGCATGGAAATGGTGATACACTGTTCCGGGAAGAGCAGCTTTGGGGGCGGGGCGGCCGGGGACTGCTGAGTGCTGCCTAGCTTGAGACAGTAAAAGGGTTGAGAGCCCAGCCCAGGCCCGGGCGGCATATTACCTCATTCAGGAGGGACTCCAGATCATCCCTTTGCAGAACAGACTCGTGACCAGCAGAGTCGTCCCCCACCTAGAACCAAAGAGTTAACAGTCAACCCAACCTAGCACAGGCTGGGATCCGGAAGCAAGGCTCCAGCTGGCAGAAGCAGCAGCCTGTACCCCACCACAGAACAAACCGACAGGGAGATCCTCATGCTGGTGGTGCAGATAGGTGGGGGAAATCGACCTGTCCTATATACTGCCTGTGGCCTTCAGGGCCCCCCAGAGAGACACAGTGGCCAGGACCCAGCCAGTGTCTCTCTTTGCCTGTCACCAGCTCTCAGTGGTCACCTGAGCTGTACTTAGACCCGTGCTCCTAGCCATAGCGACACAGCTCCCAGAGTGCAGCCTCCTATCAGGAGCTCACAGCAAAGCCAGTGGGATGGCCCAGCTGCCCAATCTTCCTTGTTCTAGAAGTGACTTTCACTTGCCCATCTTCTCTGCTTGTGTCTAGACTCTAGAGCAGTGGTTCTCAACCTTCCTGATGCTTTAATACAGTTCCTTATGTTGTGATGACCTCCAACCATAAAATTATTTTCATTGCTACTTTATAACTGTAACTTGGTTACTGTTAAGAATCCTGAGTATCTGGTGTTTCCAGTGGTCTTAGGCACCCTCTGTGAATGGTGGTTAAACTCACATATTGAGAAACTACAGCTCTAGATGCTCAGCAAAGCTTGTCCCATGACTTCCTGGGTCCTCTACCACTGGCAGAATCCTAGTATCTGTAGGTTCCTATGCAGCCCCCAGATGTTTCTCAGCCACACAGGGCCAGCCTGCGGCCAGGGGCCTAGATGTACCATGGAGATCTGGAATCTAGCACTGAGTTGTGCATGCACTCTGCAGTCTTGCATAGTACATCTTCCCAAGATCTCTCCCTCTCACCCATGAGCCCGAGGGACAGCTAGGGGCCCGAGCTTGGGGCCCATGTCTGCCTGGACAATACTATAGAGTGGCAGCTGGTTAGAGGTGGACCCTGCTCTTCCCTCCCTGGGCCTCAGATCTCCAGCCCGAGCTCAGTCCCTGCCGGGCCAGTGAAAATAGGGGGGAAGTGGAGATCCACCTGGGTGAAGGACTTGGGCAGGTGGCTCTTGGGGTCGGCAATAGCTAGCAGGCTGTCCTCCCCAACTGGAGTCTCCTCTCTCTCTCCTCCCCCCACCCAGGGCAGTAGTTGGTCATCCCGGAGGTCCAGCCCTTCTAATTCCTATTTTCCAACTTCAGCAGGTGATCTGGCCTCTAGATGTCTACTAGCTGTCTTGTTTTGGGTTAAGCCAACTGCTCTGTAGGTCCAGAGCTCTCTGAATACAGCACCAAGGCCCACGGACTCCCAGGTCCATAGGAACCCAGTACCAACAGTGAGTTCAGGGATATTAAGGGTGTTTCCCTTTAAAATACTTTACTTATTTATTTACTTATTTAGCTTTGCTGAGTTTTGTTTAGAAAGGGTTTCATTGTGTAGCCCTAGCTGACCTGGAACTCTGGAACTCACTCTGTAGACCAGGCTAGACTTGAACTTACAGAGAGACCAACTTGTCTCTACTTCTTTTTTTTTTTTTTTTTTTTTGGTTTTTCGAGACAGGGTTTCTCTGCATAGCTTTGCGGCGCCTTTCCTGGAGCTCACTTGGTAGCCCAGGCTGGCCTCGAACTCACAGAGATCCACCTGGCTCTGCCTCCTGAGTGCTGGGATTAAAGGCGTGTGCCACCACCGCCTGGCTCTTGTCTCTACTTCTAAGTGCTTGGGGTTAAAGTTCTGCTCCACCACACCCAGCCTTTCCCTTTTAAATAGATTCAACTTATCAAAATATTGTCTATTTATAGAAAAACACTTTATAAAACTAATAGGGATTAGCTGGGTGGTAGTGATACACACCTGTAATCCCAGCACCTAGGCAGAGGCAGGCAGATCTCTTTGAGTTCGAGGCCAGCCTAGACTACAGAGTAAGTACCAGGACAGCCAAGGCTACACAGAGAAATCCTGTCTTGAAGTAATAGGGAGCTGGGTATGGTGATGCACACCTTTGATCCCAGCACTAATCTTTAAAAAAAAAAAAAAATGTAGTGGTACACGCCTTTGATTCCAGCATTTGAGAGACACAGGCAGGGTACCTCTGCGAGTTTGAGGCCAGCCTGGTCTATATAGTGAGTTCCAAGACAGCCAGAGATCTGTAGTGATACCCTGCCTCAAAAAGATACAAACAAAAAAAATCAATGGGACACAAGGTTAGTGGGTACGGCTTTAAATTCTCCACGCCCACAGGATCCCGCTTCAACTGGCCACACACTGACCTTGGCAAGCCCAGGGGCCGGGCGCGCAGAAGTCGGCCCTGCCTCACCAGGAGTGGGAGTCGGGTCTGCAGAGCAGGACTTGCAGCGGGGGTTCGTCCTGGAGGAGTGGGGAAAAGCTTGCTTGGGGGTCCGAGAACCTTCAGGTGGGTGGGGACGTTGGCTGCTCTCCCTCCCACGCCACCTCACTCACCCTGGCCGGGCTTCGGTCATCGGGAAGTGGCAGCGCCAATGGAAGGCCGCCGCACAGTGTGCGCACCGCAGCGTGTCCACGCCATCCCCGCACACACCACACCGTGCGCCGGGTGCCGTACTCTGCAAGAGCATGGTTGAGCAATGTGGACGGCAACTCAGCCTGTGCCATGCCCACCATAAGCCCCGTCAACCCGGGTTAACCCGGAAACCTCACGGTTGCAAGTCACGTGAGCGGGACTGTAAGTTCTGATGCCTTGGTGACCCTAGCAACTGTCAGAAAGCGCCTTCAGGGCCAGGGTCAGTGCATCCAGCCATGCTCCTGCCAACTGTGGGCTCCAGAGGAGCTTGTAGGAATGTGGCCGCTGGAAGTGGGCAGGGTTTGGGGGATTCTGATTCTATTGGAGACAGCAAGGAGATTCTGCCTTTGCTGTCCTGCCTCGTGGGTGGTGGTGGTGGTGGTGGTGGTGGTGGTGGTGGTGGTGGTGGTGGTGGTGGTGATTTATTGCCCAGATAACCAAGCTAGGCCTTTCTTTCATTCTTTTCCTTCCTTCCTTCTTCCTTCTTTCCTTCCTTCCTTCTTTCTTCCTTTCTTTCTTTTCCTTCTTCCTTCCTTCCTTCCTTCCTTGCTTCCTTCCTTCCTTCCTTCCTTCCTTCCTTCCTCCCTCCCTCCCTCGCTCCCTCTCTCCCTCCTTCCCTTTCTAGTTAATTCACTATTCATCTGTGGGTGAGCATGTGGATCTCAGAGGGACACCTTGCCGAGTGAGTCTCTCCTTGCACCAAGTGAGTCCCGGGAATTGAACTCAGGTCCTCAGGCTTGGCAGCCAGCCCTTTTACCTGCTGGGCCACCTAGAAAGCCCAGCTGGATTTGGGCACATCAGAGCTGAGTGGCGGGCTGAGAGCTGCACCTGAGTTCCCTGAGGGGCTCTCCTCACCGCCCCTGTGCCTGCTGGTGTACCCCCTTCCCTTTGTCAAACAAATTTTTCCTGGCAGACTCCTCCCTGACTCCTGGAAAGCCCTTCTAATTCCTAGCCCCCAGGGGCCACCAGCTGTTCTGACTTTACAACCACTCTGTATAGGTCCAGAGCTCCCAGAAGAGAGCACCCAGGCCCCAGGGGTCCCCCTCGCTCACCTGCTGCCCCTCAGTCCCAGCACTTAGCAGAGGGCGTAGTGCTGAAGGTTCCAGCAGAGGCAGGGGGGCCGCAGAAGGGGGGGCCAGCATGTTCACGTATGTGATGGCTGCCTCTGAGCTGGCTGGGAGCTCCCTGGTCAGGCCCCTGGTCCCCTCTGAAGCTGACCTCAGTCCCAGGAGGATCTGGAATGCAAGGGTCAACGCTCAGGGGCCACAGGGCACTGCTCAGTACCACCGGGGAGTCAGGGCTGGGCTGCTGTGGTGGGTTTGAGGTTGAAAAGGCTTGGTACAGCCCGGAGAGATGGCTCAGTGGTTAAAAGAAGGGCATGGGCTCAATTCCCAGCATCCACATGGCGGCTCACAATTGTCTGTACTTCGAGTTCCAGGAGATCTGACACCCTCACACGGACATGGATGCAGGCAGAACACCAATGCAAATAAAATACATTTTAAGATAAAGAAAAGAAGATCTGGGTGTGTGGCTCCATGGCTCTCAGCAAATGCTTCCATCCTTGCCATTTTAGACCTGGTGACAGTGGCCTCAGGGCCAGCCACAGCAAACTAGGTTTCGAACAGGATGTAGGGCATAACACAACAGAAAGCTACCAAGGCTTTTTGGAGAATTTTAGTAGCAGTGAGGGTGTACCCCGGGTCAGGTCCACAGAGCAGGAGGAACGGAGCCATTGTAAGAACAAGCACCCGAGGCCCCTCAACCCAGCAGGGAATTCACCAGGAAGGTTGCCCAGGCTGGAATAGAACACGGCACTCCAGCAAGGGCAAGTAGAACTCACAGGAAAAGCCAGGAGGCAGGACTATAGAGGGAGAGAAGTAGTGGGTGACCCAGCATGGACATACCGGGGTCTCTGCAGGTGGCTCCAGGGGCCTGGACTCCTCAGGCTGGGACAGGTTCTTCTGGACTCTGCCCTGGAGGCAGCGGGAGCACCTCCAGAGGCCGCTATACATGAGGCCACCAGTCACAGGCATGCAGGACAAAGCAGAGACCATAGACACCCCCCCCCCAACTGCATGGTGGAGGTGCATGCAGGACAAAGCAGAGACCATAGACACCACTCCCCCCAACTGCATGGTGGGGGCGGCTTGGGGACACTCCCTGTCACCATGCTCGTTCACAGATGGGAAACCAAACCCAGGAACGGTGGAGAAGGTTGCCACAAGGGAAGTTCAGTAAGGTGCGGGTTATTTACCCTGGAGGGTGGCCCTGGCCAGAGTGTCAGAGTCCCTAGATGGTTTCTCAGCTAATCGGTAAGAATTCCCCATGCTTAGTAACCTCAGCGTCTGTGCCTATAGGTCTGGCCCAGGGGTACATTGTTACATTGTTTCCATCCTCAGAACACCCACATTCCCATAGGGATGGGGGTGGGGCCTCAAGGACAGAATGGGGAGGACTCTGATGGAAGAGGACCAGAGAGACCTGTGAAACAAGGGGCAGAGCCAAGGCTAGACCCCCACAGGCCGCTGCACTCCCCAGAACAAAGGCCTGTGCAGTCAGTGATGGGGGTAGAGAGCGTAGCTTTGTGGTTTCTGTGTCGTCCCCCCCAACCTTACCTGGGAGTGAGATTTAGGGGGGCCTTGGGAAAAGGCCTGTGCCCAAGAGAGTTTGGGCTAGGAATCTAGCGTGGAAAGCATAATATAGCCACCTTTGCCTTGGGGCATCGTGCTATGGTTACCTTTAGGCCTGTTGGCCTGAGCGAGCCATGGGGCAGGGACGGGGAAAGGTGGCATGGAAGGAAAATCCAACCATGCCCATAGCCAGTGCCCTAAAGCGTGGCTCTTCCTGAAGGACCCTTACTATCCATCTGTGGGGTCAGCAGATAAGGACAGTGATGGATCAGGGTGGCCGGGGGCACAAGTGGCAAGCCACATTGGGGAGCTCTGCTCACCTGGGGATCTCCCGCAGAGGTGGGGACAGGCAAGCCAGGTGGAAGGCCCTGGGGCAGCCATCACAGCAGATGAGCTCACCTCCATCGTGGCACACAGCACATTCGTCCTCGTTCTTCTGACCAGGCGAGAGGGGGCCCCATGCAGACCCAGAAGGGAGCACAATGCCCGCCTGAGAGACCCACCCTGGAGGGGCGTCTCCTGCAATGCTCACCCCCGGGGGACCAGCTCCCAGGTCCCCTCCCTGCTCGCTTGTGGGCCCCTGGCTGACCTCTGCACTGCCCAGTGTCTTTGCAGTACTAGTTCTTGAACAGGCCTAGGGGATGTTCCTCTCGGGAAGAAATGCTAGGTACCAGGCAGTCCCCTAGGTGGACCCCAGCTACTTAGTAGGACAGCAGGCGGATGGGTCTGTGGTGTTTCCTGTCAGCCCTGGGTACCTACTGTCAGCCCCCCAAATCCCCACCCTATGCTTGTCAGGATAGAGGTACTTTTGAGTCTGGACACCACCTCCTCAATAAGCTCCCAGATGCCAGGCTATGCTGGCCCTGCACACTGACCATTACATCCATTGGAATGCTTCCACAGGCCCCCAGTACCCAAGGCACTTTTGTGGAGCGGGGCAGAACTGGACCTTTCAACCTTTGATGTCTGGGGCCAGCAGAGTGCCTGGCTCTGAGCTGTTGGGACCTATAATCAATGGTGGCAGGCACAACCAGCCAGTGGTACTAGAGAGGATGAGCTTCGTGTCCCCAGGAAACCCGCATACTCTATAATAGCAGCATCTCTACCCCGACCCCAGCTAAGATGCTTTTTGTAGTCTGGAGTGAATGTGTGGTTTTATTTTTATATATTTATATAAAACTATATATATATATAGTTTTGTTTTTCAAGAAAGGGTTTCTCCGTGTAGTCCTGGCTGTCCTGGAACTCACTTTGTAGAACATCCTCAAACTCAGAGATCCACCTGCCTCTGCCTTCTGAGTGCTGGGATTAAAGGCATAAACCACATCTGCTCTGACTAATTTGAAATCTCCCAATGTGCATCATTGGAAAGAACACTTCCAAGAAAGAGCAGAGGGGGAGGGGGAGGGAAAGAGGAGGAAGGGAGGAGCCCCTCATGAGTCAGAGCTCAGACCTCTGTGTTCCAGGCAGCCAAATGCCCAGGACAAGGGACAGAAGATCTGGTTGAATGCTGGTGGGGAAGCCAGGCTCTCCTGTTCTTGGGGCTTACCTGGTGAACCTGGGGCTCACTGGGAAGGGCTGGAAGGGCAGGGACCCCACACTGCTGGCCCATTCTCTGCTCATCTCTACCCTATGAGAGACACAGGATCATAATAATGTAGGCAGGGCCAGGGAAGATCCATGTGGCCACCAGAACTAGGTGCCTCTGGGAAGCAACTCCCAACCCCCAGGAAGAACTCCTGGCTGTTTTGTGGGGGAGGGAGGCTATCCAAGGCCCAGCTCCCCAGAGATGGACAAGTTGGGTCATACTTACAGCAATAGTGACCTGGGCTCCCTTGGCTCGGACCACGGGCTTTAGGCTGCTACCACCACGGGTCTTATTCTTTGCATTGCTACTGGGATCTTCAAACTTGCTGGGGGTGTAAAACTCGCCCCCAACCTGGATGCACTTCTTGGATCCTCCTGGGAGGAGAGGCAAACGGCCTGAGCTCACACTAGGCATCTGGCAGAACCATTCCTTCCCACCCCCTAACCACAGCCAAGTCTGAGGCCTGGGTTCTGGGTACAGCGAGGGATTCTTTGCTGGAATTTACTGAGATAAATAGTCTCCACTCATAAGCTCAGAATGGGACCTTCTTGGAAACGGGGGCTTTGGAGATATACTTGGTTAAGATGATGTCATACTAGACCCTAACTATATCCAATGTTCTAACAAGGAAAGGTGAAAACAGAGACACGCAGTCAGACTAGAGAGATAGCCACTGCCCAGAAGCAAGCATCACAACAGCACTCGGGGGGCTGGAGAAATGGCTCAGAGGTTAAGAGCACTGACTGCTCTTCCAGAGGTCCTGAGTTCAATTCCCAGCACCCTCATGGTGGCTCACAACCATCTGTAATGAGATCTGGCACTCTCTTCTGTATACATAATAAATAAATAAATAAGTATTTAAAAAAAAGAAAGAAAAACAACAGCACTCGGTGCTAGAGACAAGAAACGGGACCCTCCCTAGTCTCCAGCGGGATGGGTGCCTGTCTATACTTCGACTTTGGAATCTGTTGTTATAAGCCTGGAACTTTTTATTATGATAGCCCCAGAACAGTTGGACAAGATTCTTGGGGCTGCTCTGATGGAGACAAAGCAGGACTGGCATCAGCCCCTAGGCCATCCTGGTTATCCACAGCATCCAAGTCCAGTGTCCAGGACGGAGGAGATGCTGTGGAGCAGATACTGCAATGGTGAGTGACTCTGCCCCCAGCTCTGTCCTGTCCAGATGACATGGGTAGCTGTATAAGGTGACCTGCTAGCCTACCCAGTAGGTAGGCCGTTGTGGGAGGAGCCTGGGTAAATATTGAGAGGACCGGACAGGGCATACATGCCTGAGGCAGGGGCAGTAGGGTGTGGTGGGCTGTCCTCGGTGGGCAATGTGAGCACTTGAGAGAACTGGAGCCCGTGGAGAACCTGTCTAAGGATGTCAACTGTGACTCCGCAGCGCCCACTGATGAGGAGGTGGGCATTCTGTGCCTGAATGCGGCAATGGACCCCTGGCCTGACAGAAGATCTCCCCAGGTAGGGGGTCTTCAGCATCATTGCCGGTGCTCCAAAGCCAGCAGAACTTCATGAGGCACGCCGGCTGCCTTGTCCTCAACCTCGGCCACGGTTGCTCAAGAACCAGCTCCTGAGGGCCTGGGTCTCCCTGGCAGCCTGCTCCCCACCCATTTACCTGACTCAAACACCTGCTGGATAAGGATTCCTTCCACAGCCCCTCGGGTTCCTGGGACATCCCCGGAGGACACCGTCACAGCTCTCTGGACGGAAGCCGACATGGCCTGGATTCCTGGAGAAGGTAGGCCCAAGTGGCTGCCCACGAGCATGCACAAGCACAGGTCTGTGGGACTGCCATGTTCGCAGAGTGAAGCACAATGATAGGTTAATAAGTATCTCATGATGTGGGACCTCATGATGTGCTAGGGGCACAGAGTTCCTTGGCCATCTTGAGGGGTGCATGGGTCTATGGGAATCCTTGGGCTCGGTGTCAGGGTTGACGGTAACAAGGTGGGGCCCAGCTGAAGAGCAGGAATCGTTTTTGCCGTGGCTATGCTTCTGGACCGCCCGGAAGGTTGGGAGTACTAAAATGGGCAGAGATTTGGAAGGAGACACCCAGGGCAGTGTGGGTGGGGTGACCGACAACACATTTGGAACCAAGGAGGCCCGGCTTTCTTCAGCTTGGGCATCCAGCTGAGGCCAATGGGATCAGATGCCTGCCAACCTCCACACTCAGCCCCTCACTCTCTCGGCCTTACTCACCATTCCCCAGGGGGAGGCGCTGTGACTCCAAACTGCCCTCTGGCTTCTTAGGGGGCTTGGTCTTTGGGTGGGAGCCTGTGAAGTGGGGTGGGGGGGAAGTAGAGGCAGCCTGGAGGTATCCTCCTTTCTGGGCTGGGGTGGTGCTGGCGGGTCCCAGGGTATAAAGTGAGGTGGGGGGAGAGCACCTGGTAGGGTCAGATCAAGGGTTCCCTGACTCCCTGAGGGTTCTTAAGCTGTGCTAGGCTGCTTCCTTTTCAATGGGAAACGAAATCAAAACCACCTGCCTGCCTCACCACCCAGGAACTCAGCCTTCAGAACAGGAAGAAGCTGAGAGGCGGTGAGCCTCCTCCAGCGCTCAGAGGTGACTGTGGTTCGTAGCAGAGTGGCCCTGGGCAGGCCCCAGTGAGAGCCAGTTGGAAAGGGCCCTGCAACCCTGGCTAGCTCCTCTCCCTGAGTACCTGGGCTGGCAGAGCTCTTGGGGGTCGGGGCTGCTGGTAGGGTAGCCCGAGGCTCCTCTAGGGCTTTTCTCTTGGTGGGGGGTCTGGGCGGCAGTACTGAGACCTTGGGACCAGCAAGGGGTTTCCTTCCCTTCCGGGGCTGGCTGAGGTCCACATCTGCAGCGGGAACAAGGGCCCTCTGTCTTAGAGCCGTGTCCTCAGGGTGGGCTCTAGAAGCAGGACACTCTTGAGAAAGGTGAGCCAGGCTTTTGCTCTTTGCTCTTGGTTCCGTCCCACCAGTTCTAGTGGTTCCCCGAAAACGCGTTCCAACTTACACCCACAGCCTCCACGCTACCCCCTAGGCTGAGGTGGCAGGCACCATCGTCAGCACAGGCCCACCTTTTGGGAAGCCCTCCAGGATGGGATGCAGGCGGCTGTAGCGTTCCAGATTGTAGTCCTTAAAGAGAACCCTCCAGAAGTCCAGGATGGCCCCACTGTCCTGGGTCAGGAGCCAGGACAGCAGGGCATGGAAGGCCTGGGGGCAGCCCTCCTTCTCCTTCAGGCGGAGTGTCTCCTGGAGTGACAGTATCAGGCTGTCTGTGCACACCCGACCTCCAATCCCTGCTGCCTCTTTTGGAAGGGAGATCAGCCTATTCCTGCCAGAACCCTGGACCATGGGGGGGGGGGGGAGTGCACAGGATGTGAGGTTAGGGGACTCACCTGAAATTTGCCCTGGAAAGGTCTCCTGAGGAGGGCTGGGGCCACCCCTAGGCTGGTGTGTGTGTGTGTCGGGGAGTGGGGGTTGGGGCACGGGGGTTGGGAAGGGTAGGGATGGGTAGAGCATGGGTATTGGAAGGCTTGGGAGGGATCTAGGTTGTGGGGAGAGGAATGGGGAAGCTGAGAGGCGCTGGGGGGCTAGGAGCCCACCTGGAACTTGTCCTCTGGGACCACGTCGTGGTCGGCCAGAGCGTGCAGCAGTGGAAAGGCGCTGTCGACCGCCACCGCGATCTCGGTGCGGTGCAGCCTCAGCAGGCGGCGCAGCGTCCCATCCCCGCCGGCCATCGTCCCGACACGGACTGCGGCTCAGCGCCCCCTGCTGGTCCGTGCGCGCTCGCGTCTCCTTCCCGCTACCTGGGGTGTCTTGGCGCGATCCCCGAGAGGCTCCTGTGAGCGTGTATACCTACTCCCCGGCTGGGGAAAGGCGACGCTGGCCTTGCTCCACGTCTCTGTTATACTTTCAACCAGAAAAGAGCAGAGGCTGCTGTTCACCCTGGAGCCAATCAGGGCCCGGCTTCTGCAGGCTCGGGACAGAGACTGTCCTACCGCTGGTTCATTTCTTGTGGAATCCAGCTCTCTGGGCTATGAGTAGAGCCCTGGACTGGGGTAGAGGAAACAGGAAGAAGAAAACTGGGGTAGAGGAAACAGAGGGTCCTGTCTGTGGGTAAAAACTAGGACGGGCTGGGAAGATGGCCCAGTGGACAATTTGCCTGTCCGGCAAGCCTGAGGACCTGAGTTATCCCAGCGCTGAGGAGGCAGAGGCAGGAGCCTGGGTAGAGCTCACTGCCCAGACAACCTAGCTGAACGGATAAGTTCCAGGTTCCGTAAGAGAACCTGCCTCAAAAACTTGGGTGGAGAATAACTGAAGAAAACACCCTATGCTGGACTCTAGTTCCATACACACGAACATGTGCAAGCACACACACACACACACACACACACACACACACACACACACACACACACTGAATTAAAAAAGAAAGGGGACTGGAGAGAAGGCTCAGCACTTAAGAGCACTTGGTGCTCTTGCAGAGGACTGGGTTTGGGTCTCAGCACCCACATGATGGCTCACCACCGATTCATAAGTCCAGTTCCAGAGGATCCAACACCCTCTTTGGCTTCTACTGGTATTGCATGCATGTGCTGACCAAAAACATGTACGCAAGACACTCATAGGCATAGAATAAAATAACTGGGGGGAGGGGGGAGGGGAGGCAAAACCGTGCTTCTAGCCACACCCTGGCTGCCCAGATAGGCTAGTGCCTTTGAGAGCGGCCACAAGAAGAAACCTCTGCAAAGGGCTGGATAGTGGAGCTGGCTGGGAAGCCCTAGCTGTTCCAGACCTGGGGCTGGAGGAATGGAGTGAAAGATTCCAGCAGAGCAAAGGAGACGTCCATCCTGTGTGCCAATGGGTAGAAACAACACATGGCGTCTCTCTGAGCTCAGAGGTGGCCAGCACATTGAGCTGGGGGTCTGTCGGGGTACAACAGTACAACAGCAAGGGGCAAGAAGGCAGAGAGCCCTCGACAAATGCCCCTGGGCCACTCCTGTCTCATTCCCTTCACAGTCCGAGCAGCACTCTTAGGACTCATGACAGAGACCGCAGGGCAGTGTAACCTGAAGGACAGGAGCCCCAAGAAAATCAGGGAGGTGTCCTGGAGGCAAATGGAATGGGATGTCAGGGTGGATGTTACTGGAAATGGTGCCCCCAGCAAAGTGAGAGCCTAGAGCTGGAAGTGGCCCTTTGGAGCAAAGTTAAATGGTCAAGTTTGTGCTGGGGCCCCAGCCACTGTGGGTGTTGATAGTTGAACAGAAGCAAATGCTAAGACCAGTTAGCACAGCCCCGGGCTGGGGCTGTATGGTTCAGCAGGAGGAGAGCTCAGGCTGTGCAGGAGACGGATGCAGTGAGTAGTGTCATCCAGCATCCTCACAAGGGTGGCCACCAGGGGGGTCTGGGCAGAAAACCATGTGTGGCTAGTGCTGGCCTTGGCCTCTGTTAGGTTCTCCTACCTCCTAACTCAGGCCCCCCCTAAGAGTTCCGGGTATGCTGAGATTGCTCTCCAGCAAATGTGTGTGTGTGTGTGTGTGTGTGTGTGTGTGTGTGTGTGTGTGTGTGTGTCTGTGTGTCTGTGTGCATGCGTGTGTGTCAGGAAACTAGGAAGGAAGGGAGAAGGTGGAGTATCAGTGCTGAAAAAATGGGTGAGACAGTCAGCATGAGAACCAGGTGCTGGGGGAAGAGAGAGCTTCATTGTGAAGGATCAGTCTCCTCAGAGCCAGGGTGTGTATGTACACCAAGATAGGCAGAGGTGGAGAATGTCCTAGAGACTGTGTGCAGGGAGCAGGGCCCTCTCACTGTCCATCACAAGGCTCCAAGCCATCACCGCAGCGCCTTTGGAAGTGGCTATGGAGCTGATATCCCCTGCACTATGCCTCCCACAGGTACTGAGAAGGAAGCCTTGGGTGATGTCAAGATGGGCTTGCCCCCCCTGAGAGGCACCACCAGTCCCTCGGCCCTAGAGGAAACTGCTGCTCACAGAGCTCTCCTGCTGTCTCCTGCAAGTATGTATGTACTACAGAAACATCAGTCCCCAGCCCCCTGTCAACCCAGATGTGGTTTCTGCTGTCCAGAACACAGAGCATCCTCACTGACATGGTGGAGTGGACACAGGCCCCAGTTCCTTGCACCCTGCTCACCCCTTGCCAAGGTCTCAAGAGCGCAAAGGGCAATGATGGAGATTCTGGGTCCACAAGCTCCAGAATATGCACATTAAGCCCCCTGGATCCAGAGACAGTGTGTGTGTGTGTACCTTTGGGTGATCAGGTGCTGATCCTATAGTAGTTCAGCCAGCCCCTTGCTTGGCAGGGTTACCATCCTCCTCATGTCATGCCTGCAGCCTGGGGGTTTCTCCCCAGCTAGGGGCTTCTCCCTATGTGGAGGCTTCTCCTCAGATGGGGATTACTCTGCCGAAGGCAACGGACAAAGAAGAACTAGAAACCGCATCATAGACCAAAGTCTACACTTTGCTATTTTTATAAAAAGCCTGAAGCTGTCCCAGAACACCCACCACTGGCTGAGCACTGACTGTTGCAGGCAGGCATCCCCCAGCCTCTTGTGGGAGCTCAACAGAAAGACTCCTGTAGAGTTTTGGACTTTCCATCACATGTGGGGGTTTCCGTGGCAGTTCACACCTGCAGGTGATCTGGAGCAGCTGAACTCAGAAGAGGTGGTCTGGGTGACCCGTCTCCACACAGGGGTCTAGCGCTTCAGTAGGGCAATGCCTGGGGTCTTCAGCGGTCCCAGCATGTGGGCTGCATCCATGATCCTCAATGTCCTTATCCCAAAGAGGTTGACTACAGCTTGGGGGCTAGCCCAGGGCAACTGGTCCATCCCACAGAGGTGCAGAGAACAAAGGAGAAAGGTGGCCTGGGTCAGGGCTGGAAGGCTCTGATGGTTAACAGCAAACGGATGGAAAGTACCAAGCCGTCCTTAGCGGAGGTGGGCTGGAGCCAGGTGCTGGGGATGCAGCTTGGGGTGGAGACCTGAGGGGGGGCTGCTACAGGCCTGCCAGATCTGGACACCCAGTGTGCTTGAATCCCGAAAGCCTGTGTGTTCATTTTAGGTTAAAATGGGTAACGTAATAGAAAATATTCCCAATACCAACACAAATATCAAATAGCGAGAAAAAAATTAAAAGAACTCTGCACTTCTCAGAACTGGGGAATTTCTTGTTCATTTTTTGTTGCTGTTATTTGATTAGGTTTTTTTTTTTTGGGGGGGGGGAGGGTCCTCAAATAGCCCAGGTTTGGAAATCACTATGTAGCCAAGAATGACCTTGAACTTCTGATCCTCCTGCCTCCACCGAGTGCTAGGATGACCGGCATGCGCCATCACACCTGGTTTATGCAGTACCGGCTGCCTGCTAGAGCAGGACATCTCCAGCTGAGCTGCGTCCGCAGTCCTATTGTTTCAGATGGAATCCCACTGTGTAGTCCAGGCTGAGCCCCAGCCATGACCTTGCTTCAGCTCCCTAAGTAGCTGGACTAGAGGGGCTGACCAAGAGCTTAGCCAGAACTCAACAGTTCTCACATTTTCACAAAAGAAGAAAGAAATGGAAAGGCATGCCACTGTCTGGATTTAGCATCTAAACTCAGCTTCAGCTTTGGCTTCCTTCCTTCCTTCCCTTTTTTTTTTTTTTTCCAGACACGGTTTCTCTGTGTAGCCCTGGATGTCTTGGAACTTACTTTGTAGACCAGGCTGACCTCGAACTCACAGAGATCCGCCTACCTCTGCCTCCCATGTGCTGAGATTAAAGGCATACAAACGCCAAACACTGCTGTTTCTTAACCTAGAAGTATAAAAGGGTTGTAATCAAATTCAGACTGAACTCTAGCCCTCTGCAAGAGCACTAAGTGCTTTTAACTGCCGAACCGTCTCTCCAGCCTTAACACAGAGTTTAAAAAAAAAATCGTGTGTGTGTGTGTGTGTGTGTGTGTGTGTGTGTGTGTGTGTGTGTGTGTGTGTTCAGAGGTCAGAGGACAACATGTGCCAGTTGGTTCTCCTCTGCCATGTGGGGTCCATGGACTGAACTCAGAACTCAGGTCCCCAGGCTTGGCGGCAAGCACTTTCCCCACAGCGCCATCTTGCTGGACCTTTTGTTTGTCGGTCTGTTTTTCTTTTTCAGAACTTGACTTCTAGATACACCATGCCAGGCAAGGGCACATGTTCATGTGTACACACAAATAAATATAATAATTTTAGAAAGAGCAATAGGTCTGTCTTCACACAAGATGTTTCTATGTAAAATATCACAAAACACTCAAATGCATTAATGTTATTGGGTGTGGTGGCTTATGCCTGTAGTCCTCATCACCCAGGAGGCAGAGGCAGGAAGATTGCCGTGAGATCAGCCTAGGCTACATAGGAAGTTATGGGACAGCTTGGGCTACAGAGTGAGACCCAGTCTTAAAAACAAACAAGGCTGTGGGTGTGGTGGTGCATTCCTTTAATTCCAGCGCCTGGGATGCAAAGGCAGGCAGATCTCTGTGAATTCCAGGCCAGCCTGGCCTATACAATGAGAACTGTCTCAAAAAAAGTTGGGGGGGGGGGGTAATACAATGAATAAAATATTTCTAACATTTACAAGAGAATGTCTTAGTACCTTCAAATCAGTAAGAAAAAGACAGTGGAGAGGACTTGCCGACAACCTTTTGCAGAGTCTTTAAAAAAAAATTTCCAATTTCCCAGCAGAGTCAGAGACAGGCGGATCTCCGCGTTTGAGGCCAGCCTGTTGTCTCAAAAAATAAATAAATAAATAAATAAATAAATAAATAAATAAATAAATAAATAAAAAACAAAACAAACAAACAAACAAAACACCCAACGAACCAAAGCAAGCAAAGAAGCAAAACACTCAGATGTAAAAATAATGAAACAGAAGTCTGGAGAGGTTGATGGAAGCTGATTGTACAGAGCACAAAACCCTGGTCCAATCCCCGGCGCCACACCCCTGGGTGCCGTGCGGCCTAACTCCTAATCTCAGCAATAAAAAGGTGGAGGCAGGGAGATGAGAAAATCAAGATGGACCTTGATTACATAGTGAATTCCAGACCAGCCTGGGATATGTGAGACTCTAACAAAAAAGAGATAAAAAGAGAAAAGTAGCAGATCAGGAAGGACCGGGGCAGAGAGATTTAACCAGTTTATTCCACAGCCTGCAGCTGCAGGTTGGCGGCCACGCTGGCTCCTCTACTGAAGACTGATCTGTGGAAATGTGTCGCTTGGGCCAAATATCACAACAGATGTTTTCCCCAGGCTCATATACAGTGTTCACCAGTGTACAGTGAGTTTAGGCAGCTGTGGGGGGACATGAGGGGCCATTTGGCAAGTTGGGCAAATGTGATGTCTCAGGGTCCCCATTCCTTAGCCCTGAAATGCAGACACGGGAACTGGCTGCTGTCCCCTATAACATGCCCGTGACACAGGACTGGTCACAGCAGTGCTGGCCTGGATCACTGGGCTGTGAGCGGCCAGGTGTCTCACTGTAGGTGACCTCCATACTGAACCCTGTCTAAGTTACCGGCCTTGCCCATCAAAGCCTGGAGTCAGCAGCCATGTTCCCAGGGGCTCCCCACAGCTTCTGCCCTCCGTTATAACTCCTAGCAGATTAGGCCAGCCGCTGTGGTATCCTGGGAAGGGACAGGTGGCCATGAATGGATTCACTCTTTAAGCCAGGTAGGAAGAATAATCCACTAAGCACTCTGCAAAGAGGTTGGCGGGTCTTCCCTTCACATTAACCACAGGGACAGTCACAACATCACCCTTGTGGTCCTAGAAGTCCTCCTCTGACTTACCCCAACCCAAGGCTCTCTACCTCCCCCTCCCCCACTCACCAACACTTTTCCATGCTTATGCCCCACCCATCCCCCCTCCACACAATCAGGAACCCTACCTCCCAGCTCCCTAACCTCAACGTGTGTGTGTGAGGCCTAGCACCTCCCTTCCCCCACCCCCACCCCATTTCAGCCCCGAGTCGCCCTCCCACAGTATTCCATAACCCCCTCCTCTGTGACTCTTTCCCTCCCCACCCCTACCCTGAACCCCTCTCCCAATTCACAAGGTTCCCTGAGCCCCTTCAGCCCCGCCCCCACCCACCCCGCCCCCACTTCTTCCCTGAATCCATCCCCCCCCCACGTGCTGGGCTCCTTAAGCCCCGCCCCTGAGTACCTGCCCCCACGCCCTCAACCCCACCGTCCCGGGCCCTTAATAGGCTCCATCCAGCACTTAGCTCTTATCCGTACTTGCCTTAAGGTCCCTTTTAACCTTCCCTCTCTCTTCCTCTCCATAATTCCCCACCAGACCCCAAGAGAACCCACCCGAGCACCTTACACCCCCCCCTCCCATCATCTCCCATTGCATTGCAGGGTTCTGACGACTCTGTTGACACACCTCCTGAAATCTCCAGCCACCCGCCATCCCTCCGACACAGATCCTTCTCGCAGACAACCTTCATGGGTTCCCAGGAGAATTCTTCTTGCCCCAAGGCTCTTGGAACCTGGGACCTGGAGACTCTGGACAGTTCTAGCCCGGACTCTGCCAGCCACCTGGAAGAGCAGTGGCCGAAACCCTGTAAGATCCTCAGGTTTCTTTCTTCCTTTCCCTCTCCTTTCTTCTTCTTCCCTTTCCTCCTCTTACTCCACAGGGTCCTTAGCAGGGACTCTGGATCTTCACCAGAAGGTGGGAATGAATCCTAGAGGGGTCTACCAGGTACAGAGGGAGGCAGGGCCACACGGACGCTGGGGTATCCACATATATGCCCTACCTGAAAACACACGGTGGCTGGGATTGGATGGGTGAAGGGTAGCTCACAGGGCCCACCCTCTTCTACCAAGTACTTCGAAGCTGATGTTGCAGTTTTTCTTGTCCCTAATTCCCAGATGGGTGGGTGGATGTCACCATGGCTTGGCTGGGCAGTCTAGTGGGTCCCCTGACCCCTATAGACTACAGGTAACTGACTGTTTTTCCTGCATGTGTTTTGTGTCCCTATGTGGCCTCCCTGGGATGATGCTGTCTCCATCTCTAGCCCCGAGCCTAAATGACGAGGATAGCATGGATGTTGTACTGGAAGACTCTGGGGAGATACGGTCCTTAGCCTCACCTCCACCAGGCAGAGGTAAGGCCCCACCCAAGTAATGAACTTATCTCTTGGATGAGAACCTCAGGGTCAGGCAATGCACGGAATGTTCCTGTGTCATTCAGGATGCCCCCACCCCAGACAAAGGCAGGCATTCAATGGGGGGATTCTTTGTGTCTCAGTCACCTCAGAAGACAAGTTTACCATGCACGTTTTAATGAAGAGCCAGAGGAAGGAGGCTACTTATTTTTTTCTCTTCCAGAGATCATCAGGTATGAAGTCACTGTGAACCGACGGAACATCGAAGGTAAGTTTGCATACTTGCTTGTGACCCGACAAAACTGGTGTCAGCCACACTAGAAAGGCTTGCTTCAGCCTTACTTAGCCATCCCAGAAGGTGGAGAACAATCCTGGTGCCCATGGGGTGTTCTCTCCCCATCCCCCTTACCGCAGCCTCAGATTTGTTTCAAGCATGTGGTTGAAATTTTTTGTGTATCTGGTCTGGGCATGGTGGTGCACACCATTAATCCCAGCACTCAGGAGGCAGAAGCAAAAGGATCTCTGAGTCTGAGGCCAGCCTGGTCTGTGGAGCGAGTTCCAGGACAGCCAGGGCCATGCAGGGAAACCCTGTCTTGAATCCTACTCCACCCTCACAAAAAATTGTGTCTTTACATCATCCACGACTACAGTCCCATTTGAGACTCTGCTGAGTTTTCAGTAGAGTGTCTACTCATCTTGCAGGAAGCCCTAAGTTCCATCAGCACCCTGTGAGATGGGTGTGGCGGCACACCCTGTAACCCAACATTCAGGAGATAAAGATGGGAGAACCAGAAACTCAAGGTCACCTTTAGTGAAGTTGAAGCCAGCTTGAGATATATGTGACCCTGTCAGAAAGAGAAAGGGGAAAAAAGGAAAATAAAAATGTGTGTGTGTCTGGGGGCCGGAGAGATGGCTCAGTGGTTAAGAGCACTGGCTGCTCTTCTAGAGGTCCTGAGTTCAATTCCCAGCTCCCACGTGGTAGCTCACGACTATCTATAGTGGACTCTGATGCCCTCTCCTGGCATAAAGGCATACATGCAGGAAGAGTACTCGTATACATAAAATAAATAATTTTTTTTTTAAATGTGTATCCATTCAAAGGGACGCCAAGTTCCTCAGTCAGTGATCTATTTCTCTGGATTGGCCGATATGGGAGCCCTTGGGTCTTCACAGGCATTTTAGGACCAACATGTCAGGTCTGCAAAAAACCCTCTGCGGTTTGGAGATGTCTGCCCTTCATTTGGGGTGTTTTGTTTTCCCATCAAGTCTTCAGATGTATAACCCTGACACACACACTTCTAGGGTCTTCCCTGATCTCTCTCAGGGTCCTTGGGCCACTTTGGTTGAGTCTTTCCCCTGATTTTCCCTCTGCGTTCTCTCTAGACATCTGCCTCTGTTGTGGAAGTCTCCAGGTGCATACGCAGCACCCCTTATTTGAGGGGGGCATATGTGCCTCGTGTAAGGTAAGCAGGGAGGCAGTGGGACTTACTTGGCACTGGAGGGGGAGATCACAGACAGCCTCTGCTCCCTGCTCAGGACACGTTCCTGGAGACCATCTTCCTTTATGATGAGGATGGGCATCAGAGCTACTGCTCCATCTGCTGCTCAGGGCACACCTTGTTCATCTGTGAGAGCCCCGACTGTACCAGGTGAGGGGGGGGCACGACCCCCCATTGCTCCTCCCAAAAGAACCACCCCCAATATGAGAAACAGGTGCTGAAGATCTATCTCATGTGCCATGACGGGGACTGTTCAGGACACGGGTGGCACATTCACCTTCTGGTGTTGAAACACCATCCTGAGCTCCATCCATGATGGTCCCTGCCCTGTCCTGGACATCTCCCTCTTTATAGCCCTGACTTCAAGTGTCCCCTTCCCAGCCAGCTGCTCCTGTATAAGGTTTTCCTCATAAAAAAAAAAAAAAAAACATGTGTACAGGCTTCAGAGTTGTGGGAAGGCTTAAGGTAGTGAGGTCCGCTGTTTTGGGGACACCTACCTCACATCTTCTGTTGAGTTCCCCTTCCCAGCCTGCATCCAGCCTCGCCCACCCAGCACTGAGAGCAACATTAGCTCCTCCTCTGATGAGCCCAGAGAGAAACATACGGTTCCCTCCCGAACGAGGTGCCGGCCTGCCTTGCGGTCCCCATGGCAGTATGACTCAGGTCACCGTGGTTCTCGGTTTGACTCTAGATGTTACTGTTTTGAGTGTGTGGATATCCTGGTGGGCCCCGGGACTTCAGAGCGAATCAACGCCATGGCGTGCTGGGTTTGCTTCCTGTGCCTGCCTTTCACTCGGAGCGGGCTGCTGCAGAGGCGAAAGAGGTGGCGTCACCAGCTGAAGGCCTTCCATGATCTAGAGGGGGTAAGGACCACCCAGTGCTGGATACACATACTCCATCACCGGATGAGGCTTTTGCCATAAGGCCCCTTCTCGGTTGGAGAGCAGGGTATCACTGCTATTTTGTTGTGAGGGTCTCAGGTAGCCCAGGCTGGCCTCCAACTCACTTTGTAGCTGAGGATGACCTTGAACTCAACGATCCTCTGCTCCTGAGTCCTGGGATTACAGGCACCACATTTACAAAGACTGAACCCAGGGCCATAGGCTCCACAAGCTCTTTACCAACTGAGTTTCATCCTTGGTCGTCATTTTGTTTCTTACAAGCCTAGGGATGATTACCGGTCACAAGTAGGACAGGAGCCCCCTCCACAGACATACAATAAGTCCATCACATTGGCTTGAATGCTTAGCCTACAGGGCATCCCGTGGGCAGCCATGGCTGCCGTCTCAAGGGTGAAGCCCAGAGGGGTCAAAACAGTCAAAGGTGCAGAAGACTGGACTGTGTGTCTTCTCTCCCTGAAACATCTGTCAAGGTCATAAACCAGGGACCTGAAAACACAACTTGATTTGGAAGTGGGGTCTTGGTGGTGTCGCTCGGCTGAGCTTGAGATAAGAGCAGTTTGGAAGGAGGTGGTCTCTGCATGTATGTAGCGGTGCCATGCTTGTAAAAGAAGGGAGTTGTAGAACCTTGAGACATGCAGGAAAAATCTAGTGAGGAAGGCAGAGGCAGCACACAGCCAGTCAGAGCCACAGTGTGCTGAGCCCAGCTGCTGGGAGAGGCCTGGGATGGTTCCCTGAAGCCTCAGGCCACCAGCGCTGGTGGCACCTGGGTTTCAGGCTGCTGGGCTATGAGAATGGTTTTGCTGTCCTCGAGTCTCGGAGCCTGAGACCTACAGACAGAGCTCTCCTCTGCTAGTATCTATTACCCTCTGACTTCAGAGAAACCATACCCTGCTTCCCAAAATGTGGGGGTCCAGGCAAGAGACCTAGACTTGGGGAGTGGGTGGAGTTGGCCTCCAGGGAGGGATGGACAGCGCTGGTCCCTCCAGGGTCACCCAGGCCTTGGCAAGTGAGTCCCAGGTAGCTCTCAGTTGAGTCCTGTCTGTCCATCCGGGGAAAGACTACTGTAGGAGCCACTTTATAACTCACCAGCTCTCACTGAGCAACCAGCATCATCCTCTCACCTTTTTCTCTCTGTTTTTTTCAATTTCCTTTCCAGGCAAGCCCTCTGGAGATGTATAAGCCAGTGTCTGCTTGGAAGAGACAGCCAGTGCAGGTACTGAGCCTCTTTGGGAATATTGAGAAAGGTGAGTGTCCTCTCGTCAAATGACTCTCCAGAAGCCCATTGTGCAGGAGGGTGGGAGGAGGGCAGGAGGAGCTCAGAGTGTTCTGGGGTCCTCTGCCTGGCTGTTAGGCTACCCCTGGGCATCCGAGATGTGGAGCAGGGATTGAGAATAGAATGCCCATCGACCTTCTTCCTCAGACTCCTTGAGCTGAGAGAACTGAGTATCTCAGAAAGGGTATGATATCCAAAAAATGCCCCAACTGTGTGCCCAACCAGGAGGGAAGGTGAAAAGGGCCAGAGAGCTGGAACCCAGACAAGGACCGGGTTCCCCAACAGGAGGAGGCAGCATTGAAGGGGAAGGGGCAAGCCTGCCAGGGTGGATGGGAACTACTGTTGATGCTGTGGCTGGGTTCTGGCAGCCCTGTCCCAATCATGCACTGGCTCCCCAGTCTCCACACCTTCCTGTCTCCTCTTTCTGTACCTGAATCTCCCTCCCAAACTTGCTATTCTTCTCCCGGAGTCCTGTCCCTTAGACTGCTCTGACCTCCATGTGCCTAGCAAGCTCAGAGCCCGAAAGGTACTCTGTTCTCTGGCTAAATCATATCCCACTCAGGATACCAGGAGAGTGTCCAAGTGACCCCACAGTGTGTCACAAGGGCCCCGTGTGGTATACAAGGGTATAATTGTATCACTATACCTTAAGGACGCCCAGCAAGGGCTCAACTTGCCCAAGCTCTAATTCTTGGGGTCTGAGGGAAATGCACCTGCTCTGTATGTCACCACTTTGATTCAAAGAGGACATAAATGTCACAGCCCACTGGTTGTCTGAGCCAGCAAGTGAGAGCATGGTTCAGAAATGCAGAGTTTTGCAATACATTTCTTGACTTTCATAAACCAACACGCAGGACGTTTGCCCTAGGCTCTTGATAACTGGAGAAGATCAAGCTGCTGCTCCATGACAGGAAAGTTGCACTGTCATGGATCCATCCCCCACTCTGCGGGGACAGAGCCCATGTCTGCTCTCTATCCATCTTTGTCTGTCCTCCCTCCAGAGCTAGAGAGTTTGGGCTTTCTGGAAAGAGGTTCTGGTTCTGAAGGAGGAAGGCTGAAGTACTTGGAAGATGTCACGAATGTTGTGAGGAGAGATGTAAGTTGGGGGGTGGGGTGGGGCTGCCAAGGCCAGGTGTGCAAGTGGCCTTATGGGGCCTGGGGGGGGGAGGAGCAAGAAGGAGGAGAGAGGGGTAATGGAAGGGAGGGAGAGAGGGCGATGAGGGGGGAGGGTGGGAGGAAGGGAGCTTTGGAGGGACAGGAAGGAGCATGCAGGGTGCGACGTCCTGCTTGGACCAGCATGGGGTTCTGGTGTGGGGTTCTGGTGGGGCCAGCCCCAGGAAGGTCACCACTGTTATGCCTCACAGAGGGAGGTGGGAGTGGAATGCTTTTCTGACCTCTGCTTGGCCCTGGTCCCTGATCAGGGCCAGCAGCCAGCCGTCTGGAAAGCCACATGGCTAGTCTCTGCTGCCTATGATGGGGGATATGCATGGGTGGAGAGGTTCAACCCCACCCCACCCTCCCATTGTTACAAGTCTGGAGCTGAGCTGCAGACCACAACTGTCTGAAAACACCTTCCAAATGCAAATCTGGTGTTGTCTTGTCCCTGTGCGGGGACCCTCTCCCCCTCCTCCTGGGGGCACTGGAGGGGGGAGGGGCCAGGTTGCATTTGGATCTCCTTACTGTAGACAGCTGGGGTGCTGGTCTTTAACCCAGAACCCTGACCAGAACCCTCTGGCCAGATCCCAACCAGTCATTGCCCCTGGAGGAACCCAGGTAGAGAAGTTGGGGACATAGAGAACACAAGAGCCAAGAAGCTGGGGCCTAATTTAGAAGTCAGGCCACTACTGAGAGAAATTCCAAGAAACTGGGGGCCTATTCTAGATTGGGGAAATCATGCTTGGATATCTTAGGGACTCTTTTTTTTTTTTTTTCTTTCTTCCTTCTTTTCTTTTTAAAGATTTATTATGTTTACAGTGTTCTGTCTGCATGTGTGCCTGCACTCCAGAAGAGGGCATCAGGTCTCATTACAGATGGTTGTGAACCACCGTGTGGTTGCTGGGAATTGAACTCAGGACTTCTGGAGGAGCAGCCAGTGCTCCTAACCTCTGAGCCATCTCTCTAGTCCCTAAATAATTCTTCTTTTTTTTTGGTTTTTCAAGACAGGATTTCTCTGTAGCCCTGGCTGTCCAGGAACTTGCTCTGCACACCAGGCTGGCCTTAAACTTAGAGAGACCCACCTGCCTCTCCCTCCTGAGGGCTGGGATTAAAGGGGTGCACCCCTGCCAGGCAGAACTTTTTCTTAAAAGAATACCCAGGGCTAGATAGGCAGTTGATGAAGCAGGAGTTCTCTGGGCTCTGGAGAGGGACCTTGGGCCACTTGGGTAAACGGAAGAATCCTTATTGGTCTGCACTTGGGGCAGAGTTGGGGCTAACTGTTTCATTTTCTTCCTAACTGACCAGCTAGTGACCCCATCTGCTTATTAAGTGGGAACTGTTTATGGTCATCAGATAATGTCCCCCCTGCTGCCTGCTGCTCCCAGTTACTGACCCCAGCACAATCCAGTTTCCCAGAGGGATATGGAATCCCGCAGGCTGAAATAGCATGTGTTCTCCCTCCAGGACTGGCCCCCCCTTTTAAAGGCAACAGTTATCTGAGGAAGAATCTCAGATATGGAATGTTCTCAGGCTACCACTGTTTGGGCTTCTCCTGAGAGCCATTGGTGTCTGGGTATCTCTGCCTAAGTGGGCCCCAAGGCTTAGTTAGGAGGTCTGTTTGGGTCACCCACAAGGTACATCACTGGGGAGATGTGTGGGGTGCAGAGGCCCTAATACTGGCCACCGGTGGGAGAGCACTTAGCTTTGAGCCATCCTTATCCCATAAATAACCATGTGTGTTTCTTAGGTGGAGAGATGGGGCCCCTTTGACCTTGTATATGGCTCAACACAGCCTCTAGGTCGCTCTTGTGACCGCTGCCCTGGTAAGTTTCAAGAAATGGCCTGTTTTCAGCTCCAATCACCCGAGAATCTTGTCTTCAACCCTGTCGCCTCTACCCTGTCCTCTCTTCTGTCTCCGCATCACCTCATGCCCCCTCAGCCTGCAGACAGGGCAGAAATCTCACACCCTGCATTTTAGAACTAGCTTCCCTGGGCTATAACTGACAGGTGAACTTGCACATGCTCAGTGTGCTGATGGGTGAGTTCTAGACTAAACGGACACTCGTGTTCCCATCTCCACAATGCGAGAGCAGAGGTGCCCAGCGTCTGCAAAGGTGTGTAGTCCTGGCCCTCGCCATCTGAACTGGCCCTCCCCCTGGTTCATGACAGGCTGGTACATGTTCCAGTTCCACCGGATCCTGCAGTATGCTCGCCCACACCCAGGGAGTCAGCGGCCTTTCTTCTGGCTGTTTGTGGACAGTCTGCTGCTGACTGAGGATGACCAAGTCACCACAACCCGCTTCCTCCAGGTGAGTGTGCCTTGGGGTAGGAGCTTAGCCTGTATCCAGCTCTGGGACTCTCCCTCCTGAGGCCTCTGCTGCCCTCGTGTGTGCGGGGCCACAAGGACATTGGGCACCTGAGACACTAGACTGCAGATTTTCAGGACACTGGGACAGCCTTGCAGTGCAGCCCCCTCCTCCTACATTACTTCTGTGCATGCAAGTCACAGCCACCCAGATCCGTGTCCCCTCCTCCCCTGCACTCTCAGCCCGCACACATGAACACATCCACTTCCACCCACCACACATTCCGCATGACATGCATGTCCACTGCATGCACTCCCGTGAGTTTGTGTGCACTCATTCTGGACAGCCTGTGCGCCCCTTTTTGCCTGAACTCTCACCCATCAGTGTGGCCACCCCGTGGGGCCCAGGGCTCAGTTCCCTTCAGAGCTGACTTGGGCCAGTGTGACAGGGATAGCTGTGGAGGGTGAGGAGGAATGACTGACAGTCTTGAATATAGGAGATGAGAGACAGTGAGGAAGGAAGAAGCTTGTTGTGTCCTCACCTCCCAGGAGGAGATACAACGGCAGGCTGGGGAGCTTGGCCTACTGCGGGAGCAGAGAGGGTGGGGATCCATAGGCACCAGACAATTTCCCTGGGTACTCAGACAGAAAAATCAATCAGGAATGAGAAGCT